TGAATACTTTTTCTTGTATCATTTCTAGCAACCTGTGTTAGATATGGAAAGCTTGATTTCTATTCATTTTGTTTTTCCACATTCTCTGAATTAAGAAATTCCACAATATGTATAAAGTTGTCTCTCCATATCTGTGGGTTTCACATCCATGTATTCAATCAAATGCAGATAAAAAACATTCAGAACAATGACCGGGTGCAGTGGTTCACACCTGAAATCCCAGCACTTTGGGAGGCCAAGATTGGAGGATTGCTTGAGTCCAGGAATTCGAGATCAGCCTGGGCAACATAGCCATCCCAGTAGATGGTGGCTGCAGTGAGCCGTGATCATGCCACTGCACTCCAGCCTAGGTGACAGAGTGAGACCCTGACTCAAAAAAAAAAAAAAAAAATCAGAAAAAATATTCCATAAAATTACAAAAAGCAAGACTTGAATTTTCTGCATGCCGAATACTATGTTGAATCCATGAAATCAAGGAAATGCAAATACTGTTTTATACATAGGACTTGAACATATTAGAGTTTCCTATCTGTGGGGAATCCTGGAGCCAATTCCCTATGGATACTAAGGGATAATTATATGTAAGGGGTATGTGTATGTTAATTTCAGATGGCTCTTTTAAGTAAAGACTTGAGTCTTCAGCTCAAATATTCTCTCCCCGTTTCATTTTGCCATTCTCTATTTTCTTCTTTCCTTCTAGAAGTCCTATTTGACAAATGTTAAATCTCTTAGAGCTATCCTTTTGTACTTAATTTTTCTGTCATATTTTTCATCTCCCAGTGGATGCAGAATGACTTTTGGAGCATTTTCCTGAAGACCTTCTCCTCATACCTGCCCTCACAGAGTAACCCATCAGCCTTCCCACACAGGAAGAGCCCCATTGTGGAAACAGAACGATGTAAACTCTGGAGGAAACCACTGTAACTTAGCTGAGTGATCAGCTTGGTTTACTGATTTTAATCCTCAATGCCAGGATGGAAGTGTCAAGAGGTGAGGCCAGATAATGAAAAGATGTGTGTGCTGGAGACTTCTGAGGTTCACCTCATCTGGTTCTCTTCTTCCTGGGTCCACAGGAGGATTGTAGTTCCTGTTCCCCACTGGATAAAAGTCACCAATTTTGGGGAGTAGTTTTATTGTTTAACCTTTCTGAATATGCTTACCAGTGAGTAAGTACCTTACATACAGACGTGTTCTGTTCTGAGAGTGCATTTATAAGTCCAATTTGTTTGTAAGTCCAACAAGGTTAGCCTAGGTACCCAACTAACACAACTGGATTTATTGTACTTTACTGTAATAGGTTTATAATACTTTTCACACTAGTAATACATTTAAAAAACTCCCAAAATAAATATTTTTAATCTTACAGTATAATATCTTGACAAACACAGTAGTAGTACAGTATAACAGCTGACATACGGGAGCTGGCATTGAGTGAACAGGCAAGAAGAGTTACTGACTGGAGGGAGAGGAAGTGCGTGATGGTAGAGCTGAAGGATGGTTAGCAATAGGAGACAGAGGGTAAGCTGCAATTTCACTCACGATTGACATTGCTGGCACATGTTCTGGTTCCTAACTAACTTATGTGATTGAACAAGTGAACATATGTTTGCATCTTTGAAAGTTTGCAACTTGAAGGTTCATATATAGGGGACTTACTATAAATACCAAAAGTAAAAAACAAATGGTCTTTAACAATATTAAGCCAAATATCTAATATAAATAGATCAATTTTTCTTACTGAAAAACTTGCTTTCAGGTATGCATTTTAAAACAATAGGTTAATTTATTATTACAGTACTTTTATTCTTTTTTTTTTCCGAGTTTGAGTCTTACTCTGTTTCCCAGGCTGGAGTGCAGTGATATGCTCACGGCCACTGCAACCTCGACCTGCTGGGCTCAGGAAATCCTTCCACCTCAGCTTTCTAAGTAGCTGAAACTAAGGTGCATACCATCACACCCAGCAAAATTTTAAAAAATTTATTGTAGAGATGAGGTCTTGCCAAGTTGCCAGGCTGGTCTCAAACTCCTGGGGTCAGGCAATCCTCTTGCCTCTGCCTCCCAAAGTTCTGGGATTACAGGCATGAGCCACCATGCACAGCCTCTTTTATTCATTGTTTTTTTGTGTTTTTTTTTTCTTTGAGTCAGAGTTTCACTCTGTCAGCCAGGCTGGAGTGCAGTGGCATGCTCATGGCCACCACAGCCTTAACTTGCTGGGCTCAGGTGATCCTTCCACCTCAGCCTTACAACTAACTGGAACTACAGGTGTGCGCCACCACACCTGACTAATTCTTTTTTTTTTTTTTGAGTTGGAGTCTCACTCTTGCCCAGGCTGGAGTGCAGTAGCATGCTCACGGCCACCCCGGCATCAGTCTGCTGGGCTCTGGCAATCCTTCTGCCTCAGTCTTCCAAGTTGCTGGAACTACAGGGGCACACTACCACGCCCGGCTAATTTTTGATTTATTATAGAGACAAGGTCTCGCCAAGTTGCCCGGGCTAGTCTCGAACTTGAAGGCTCAAGCAATTCACTTGCCTTGGCCTCCCAAAGTGCTGGGATTACAGGCTGAGCCATTGAGCCCGGCCTATCCATTGTTTTTAATCAACATTAAATTTTATATTGTTTTGTTTCATTTGATTTATTTTTGTGACAGCTGTCTATCTCACAGATGATATTAGTTTTCCAGTAGTGATGAAAAGTGTCCTTTTAAAATAAATATGCTTACATATTTGAAGAAAGACTTCAAAATAATTTTATATCTTGTGCATAGATATGTCAAAAATCAAGAAATTGGTGTAGAATGGGCAAAGTTTGGGAAACAAAACTTTATTCCAACCAACAAACATCTCAAAATCACTTAAAACTGAAATAGACCTTGATCATTTCCACTTTGAATAAAAGTTTTGGCTGTCTGAACATCAATTAAGTAAATTTTAAGCCTTGTGCGGGATATCTGCTTGAAATTTCATTATTTCCTACCTACATACTGATGCCAGACATACCCTGAGAAATTACTGACAATAAATTGTTCCACATTTCCCTGAGTACCTCTACTTTGAATAAAAGCATTGGCTGTCTGCTTATTTATTTAGTTAATGTGCTGGGTATCTGCTTGAAATTCCAGTACTTCCTACTTATATACTGGTGCCGGATGCATACTGAGTAATTACTGATAGTGTGTGCGAAATTAGATTTTTCTTTTGAACAGATTTTCAAATACTTGCAATTACACTTAAACTCCAGAATAAACAGCTAAGTAGCTGAAGGAGAGGTTTTTATGTTTTTCAAGCATTTCAAGAGACGCCAACACCATTCAACGACAGGTCTTTCAAAGGGCAGAACACCAGAGGGGAGATGGCTTGAGACAGCATCAGTTGTTGGGTGAGAATCTCACGATTTTTCTCTCCTCCACCCCGGGGGGCGGAAGGCGGGGTAAATTTGTATATTGATGCAAAATACAATGATGACCTATGATCATAACTTCTATAGCTAATTTCATGTACTTTTTGGGTGCCAATTCTATCATATTTCCAACAGTTTCGAGAGGTTTCCCTTCTGTAAACTGGGGAGCAACCCCAGGTCTGGCTCCCCAAGGCGGGGACCTACTCAGGAAATCGCAGAGGCGGTCGGGACTACCGCTTCCACCGCCCCGGCCTGCAGCCTTCTTCTCGCCTTCTTCTCGCTCAAGTAGGAGGACGCCAGGGCCGGCGCGCGTCTCTCTGGACCCGCTCGCCGCGCTCTGCCCGCTAAGCGCTCCAGTCTGCTCTCGCTGCTTGGGGGCCAGGCATCCTCCTTCACGCGCCCGCGGGCCCTGGTCAGGCAGGAGCCGGGACCCCCCTTTTCAGGGGGATCCAGTGCCAAGGCTCGGCCGCGGGCAGGTTCCCGCCGGGCTCGCCTTCCTGGGCTGGGAAACCAGAGCCTTAACCCCCCCAACCCAAAGTTGGAACCAGGAGCGGAGCCCCTCCGAGGTTACACAGCAAGCCGCTCCGTGGACAGGTGGGGAATATGAACATGTAAAATGCCCCGGGGCTCCCATTGGACGGGCGGCGTGGTTAATATTCATAACGCCTCTTGGGGCTTCTGGTCGCGCCCCGCGGTGACGTCACGCAAGGGCGAACGAGGCAAGCCTCCTCTGATTGGTCGCTCCCGGGGAACGTTTGCTTTTGACTGGCTGGTGCTAGAGGGCTAGAGACGCCGTCTACCATAGGGCGGGAGATTTGAATAGCCATTTTCTGTGTCTTAGGCTGTGTCGGCGAGGACCCAGGACGCTTTTTCCAATCTGCATTTACTTCTCCCCCACTGTGTAATTTCTTTATTTTGTACATACTAGTTCTTTAGCAGTACTGCAACCATAAAGAACACATTCCAAGCGCCGTGTTAGTTTGAAAGGCCCCATCCGTTCATTTTATAGACGGAGAAACTGAAGGCCAGAGCGGAAGGACTTGAAGTTCGGTTCCTGACTCCCAGCCCTGGGTTTGACCACGACCCAGAGACGACCGTCCGGAGACGACTGTCCACTGAGGACAAGTGCGGACTCCAAACACCGATGTGTCTCCAGGTCCTGGCGTCTCCTCCCACTCCGAGGCTCCTTCTTATCCCATCCCGACTGTAACAACCCCAAGAATCTCTAGCACCTCCTCCACCCGCAGAGCGAGGTCTCTGGCTTGGTAGTCCCCGTCTCTCTTGCGGCTGCGTGGACCTGGAGGCACTATCCTGCCGAACCCCATTGTCCACCTGCAGGGGCCGAAACCAAGGGCGGCAGGGCCAGGGCTAGTCGTAGATCTCCTAACTCCAATCCCGGCTTTGGCTGCTGTCTCTTGCAGGTTGTCCTGCGTCTTCCTGATAGGTTGAGATGGCTAGACTCTGCCCCCACCGCTCGCTCTCTGGCGCAGGGGTGGGAGTGGAGGGGTGGGGGTGGGGATTTGCAGAATTCGCGCCTGCGCAGAGCCTTCAGCAAGTCAGTTAAACCGTGAAACCAGCTCCTTTGCCCTGGAGACGCGTCATCGGTTGTCATAGAGACTGCGTTGTTTACCTCCGAGTACTGCAGTTGCTGGGAGCGCCAGGTGGGATAAGGAGGCTCCTATCCCGAACTTGTGTAGTAGTGCTTTGCGGCGCTGAGGTAAGTAAACCCTGCTTCCACCACACCGACTTTTAGCCGCAGCCTCCACCATATTCGTAATCTCGTGCTTGTTAGCATCAACCCTAATTTAGGTCTCCCCACTCTGGGGTCTACTCAGACTTATCCAAGGGTCTGGGGTTAAATTATGCCTCCCCTCCACCCGCATCAGACAAACTTGGGGGAGCCTGTAAGAAGGACTGGGCTAGAAAGAAGTTGGGGGATCTCATGCTATCTGAGGGATCTGGGTGGGCTGAAGTTCTCACTCTGGTCCAGATCTGACTACCATTCCATCCTTATATGTGTGAAGATTTCAGAAGTCCAGGGGCCCCTAAGGACAGGTGCTCATATTTTTGGGTAGAGCTGGGAGTTGAGAGTAGATTTCAGCCCTGTTTGAGGAAGGCAGTTCTCAAAGTCATTCAGAGCTATGTGCAGATGAAGTGGGTAATTGTAGTCTTTCTGTTGCTGCTAGCCTCTGCCACCTGCCTTCTCATGTGTTCTCTGTCCTGTTTTTCCCTTTTCTTTGTCCTGGGAAGTTTTTAGACTATTTTATTTTGATTAGGCTCAATATCCAGCTGTTGGTTTACAGATGTCACATTTGTTATTTTCTTTCTTTCCCCCGCCCCCCCCCCTTTTTTTTAAAGAAACCATGCCTGTCTTCGTCTGTTTGGCAGAATACTACTTACTGTATGACACAGTAATTCTAATGAGTCATAAAAATGCATACATGTGCTCACCAAAAGACATGTATGAGAATATTCATAGCATTTCATGATCGTCCTAGAGTGGAAACAACCCAAATAGCCATAAAAAGCAGAAAAGACAGTTAAATTTTTGTATATTCGTGGAATGGCTCACTATACAGCAATAAGAATGAACAAACTACCACTACATGAACAATATGAATTAATTTTACAAATAAATTGTTGAATGAAAAGTCATGTACAAAACAATACATACTGTATGATTTCATTCATATGCAGTTCAAAAATAGCAAAACTAATCTATAACTTTAAAAGTCAGGATTGTGGCTCCCCTCAGGGGCTTGATGTGAAGACTAGTGACCGCGAAGAGGTTTGAGATGCAGATAATGCTTGTTTCTTGATCTAGGTTCTGGCTACACAGAGGTGATCACGTTGTGTACAGATTATGTACACTTTAATAATTATGCCACACTTTAATAAAAAATTAATAAAAATTGATATAAAAAAGGAAAGTTTGCTTTAAGTTAACCTAAGAAAGTCTGCCTTTGATCAGGACTTTGGAAACCTCAAATGGCCAAACTACTACAACCTCCGCCCAAGTTCCTGTCCCCAGAATGGTACATTGCTAACAAGAGCCAGTACCACAGAGCAGAGGCCCAAAAGTCCCGATCCGAGCGTCTGGTAGCAGAAAGCCAGAGGCTTGTGGATGAAATTGAAAAGACCACAAGAAAATCTCAAAGTGATGTGAACAAGAAACTAGGTAAGACAAAGTGCTTGATGTATTTGTGAGCATGTTTGGATGAGGCTACTGAGGTTTAGCTGTAGTGTCATGTTCAGATGTGGCAATGTATTATTCTTGAAATATTAGGGAAAAACATGTGTATTCTCCAGGCTCTATGTTTCACTTCACTGCTGTAAGATAGGCACATGGTTACCCAGTCTGATTTTCAGCCATAACCTATCATTCATTCATTGATTTGATTTTCACATCATGAACATCTAAGGGTATCTATAGACTACACACTACGGATATCACAGGGAATGATCAGAGTCTCTGCTTTTTAGGGGATCTTGACTTAAAAAGGAGAAGACACAAAAATTAGCAATTAGAATACAGTTGGTCCTCTGTGTCCATGCGTTCCACATCCATGAGTTTCACATCTGCTGATTCAAACAATGGCAGATCAGAAATATTTGTAAAAAAAAGGATAACAATACAACAGTAAAAATAATACAAAACCCCCAACACAGTTAGATTAGATTATTTTAAATAATCTGTAGATGATTTAAAGTATACCCAATAGGTATAGGTGGTGTATGCCTGTAGTCCCAACTACTCGGGAGGCTGAGGCAGCAGGATACCCTGAGCCCAGGAGTTAGAGACCAGCCTGGGTAATATAGTGATTCCCTGTCTCTTAAAAAACAAAAGAAATAAAGAAAAAGAAGGTGTACAGGAAGATGCACATAGGTTATAGTCTTGAAATAATACTATGCTATTTTATATAAGCGACTTGGAGCATCAGAATTTTTTTTATCTGTGAAGGGAGTCCTAGAATGAAGCCCCTTCAATTCTGAAGGACAGCCTTATAACCAGATAGATGCTGGGGTTAGGAGAACAAAGCCAAGGGTGAGGTAGGCACTGGAGAATAGGGAAGGTTTTCATAGAGAGGAATATTTAGGCTGATTCTTAAAGGAAGAACGATTTTCTCTTGACAATTCCATGCTTAAAGTCAGCATTTAAAACGTGATACTCTTTTTTTTTGAGTTGGAGTCTCACTCTGTCACCCAGACTGGAGTGCAGTGGCCGCTTCCGGCCACTGCAGCCTCGACCTGCTGGGCTCCGGCGATCCTTCCGTCTCAGCCTTCCAAGTAGCTGGAACTACAGGCGTGTGCCACCACGCCCAGCTGATTTTTGGTTTATTGTAGAGATGAGGTCTCGCCAAGTTGCCCAGGCGGGTCTCGAACCCATGGGCTCAGGCAATCCACTCACCTTGACCTCCCAAAGGCGTGGGATTACAGGCTGAGCCACCGAGCCTGGCTAAAACATATACTCTTAAATAACCAAAATAAAAATAAAATGAAACAAATAATATCTCCTAAATGCCAAAAAATGATAAACCAAAGGCTGCAAACTCAACTGTTTATAAGGGCCTGGCAGGTAACATAGGAGTCGAATGTAAGACCCTAGGGAATAGTGGGGACTGTGGGGACTTGGAGAACATGTGCCCTATCTAAAGAGGCGGCTGCTACTACTCAGTTTCAACCTATTTTTTCCAAGAAAGAACATGAGCCCAGTGTTGCCTGATTTAAAGTTTTATTTTTAGAGACAGGTTCTTGCTCTGTTGTCCAGGCTGGAGTACAGTAACACGATCATAGTTCACTTCAGCCTTGAACTCCTAGGCTTAAGGCATCCTCTTGCCTTAGCCTCCTGAGCAGCTAGGACTAGGCTTGTGCCACCATGCCCCTCTATTTTTCAAAAATTCATTTTTTTTTGGTAGAGATGAGGGTCTCACTCTGATGCCCAGGCTATTCTCAAACTGCTGGCCACATGTGATCCTCCCACTTCAGCCTCCCACCAAGTGCTGGGATTCCAGGTGTGAGCCACTGTTCCCAGCCCTTCAAGAAAATCTGGAAAACTGAAATTTATCCACTTTTTAAATATTGGCAACTGATTTAGTTTACTTATAACAGTGAGCTGGTTGAACAAACACATTTATGGCTCAAACCTGATTGGAGGGTTGCTAGGTTTGGAGGGCTGCTAGTTTTTCAATCTCCAATAAACCAAAGCTTCCCCCAGGCCAGTAATGTTAGATGTTAGGCTCTCCTGATGAATTGATACTTACTGTAATACCACCCTATGGATAGATCTGTTCTAAATAATTGTACAAATAGGTACATATTAAAAAAAGGGCGCAACATTCATTATTCACAATACGAGTGTTTCAGTAGTTATGGGGACAAAGCTTTCAAGGTCTAAGCCTTAACGTCATTGATTAATTGAATCTTTTAAAAATCAACCATTTATAATGGCATTAAAAACATCAAATACCTAGGAGTAAATCTAATAAAAGATGTGTAAAAGATCTACATTGAAAACTACAAACCATTATTGTAAGAAGTTAAATAAGTTCTAAGTAAATGCAGGGATATGAGTTAATGGATTATAAAATTTAATATTTAAAAGTGTCAGTTTCCCCAGTGAAAATTCCAGCAGATTTTCTGATGAAATTGGCAAACTGTTTCTAAAATTCATACAGAAATGCAGAGGATCAAGAACAGGCAGACTATCTTGAAGAAAAATAGGGCTGGAAGACTTTAACTGCAGAGTCTAAGACATATGATAAAGCCATGATGATAAGACAGGGATGTATAGGCTAGGACAGACAAGTTGATCAATTAAACATGATAGAGCCCAGAAATAACCCACACTTATATGTTTATCTGATTTACGACAAAGCAATACTGCAGTGTGATGGAAAAAGGATACCCTTTCTGATAAATTGGCCAGTTGGTTATTCATATGGAAAAAAATTATATTCTAACCTCTACTTCATATTATATGTTAAAAAATCAAATCTAGTTGGAGCACATATCTAAATGGGAAAGGTAAAACAATAAAACTTTTAGGGGAGAACTTGGAGCAGGCAAAGATTTTTCTTAAGCAGAACCCAAAAGACAATCATAAAAGAAAAAGTAAGCCGGGCTCGGTGGCTCAGCCTGTAATCCTGCGCCTTTGGGAGGCTGAGGTGAGTGGATTGCCTGAGCCTGCGGGTTCGAGACCCGCCTGGGCAGCGAGACCTCATCTCTACAATAAATCAAAAAATCAGCCGGGCGTGGTAGCGCATGCCTGTAATTCCGGCTACTTGGAAGGCTGAGGCGGAAGGATCGCCGGAGCCCAGCATGTCGAGGCTGCGGTGGCCGGGAGCGGCCACTGCACTCCAGCCTGGGCAACAGAGTGAGACTCCAACTCAAAAAAAAAACAAAACAAAACAAAAGAAAAAGTAATACATTTGGCTATATTAAAATGAAGGAATTTTGTTTATTAAAAAGATCCATTAACAGGCTGAAAAAGCAATCCATAGAGTGGGAGAAGATAGTTATAATATACACATTTGACAAAGGATTTATATCCAGAATATGCAAAGAACTTTTGAAAATATAAAATAAAAGGGCAGATAACTCAATTTTAAAAAATGGGCAAAACTTGACAGATATCTTACAAGAGAGGAAATTCAAACAGACAATGAGCATATGAAAAGGTGCTCTAAATTAGTCATCAGGGACATACAAATTAAAATCAGAGTTGAGATGCCATGACATGCCCACCAGAATGCCTAAAATGAAGTAGAAGAAGGAGAAGAACAAGAAGAAACAACACACACACACATACAAAGAAAAGAAAAGAAAAAAAAAAACCCAAGTGTTGGAGGGGATGTAGAGCAACTGGAACTCTCATACCCTGTTGGTAGAAGTATAAATTGGCATAACTACTTTGAAAAACTGAATATCTACTGTCATTGAAGATGTGCATAACCTTTCACCTAGCTATTTTATTTTTAGGTATATATCCAACAGGAAATCATATACATGTTTACCAAAGAGATAAGCTGCAATAGCCAAAGGGGTGTCATTTGTAATAGCCCCAAACTAGAAACTACTCAGTAGAGTGAATAGAATTATATTATACAGCAAAGAGAATGACTGATCTGCAGCTACATGCAACACTACAGATAAATCTCACAAACTTAGTAAGATGTTGAGTGAAATAAATGACACACAAATGAGTAAATGCCATATTATTTATATAAAGTAAGACAAAACAGAAAAGGAAAAAGTAATCTGTATTGTTAGAAATCAGCATTGGTGTGTGGAGTGATAGGGAGTGAAAGAGGTCATGAGAGACCTTCTGGGATGCTGGTAATGTTCTGATGCTTGAATTAGGGTATTTGTTATACGGGTGTGTTCACTATGGAAGTTCATCGAATTTTATGATATATGTACTTTTCTATAGGTTTATGATAGTTCCATAAAAACTTAAAAATAACTTGCAAGTTCCTGTGCTTGTATAAATGTATAAATATGTTTTATAAATATATAAATATAAATATATCCAATCGCTGCCTGCCTTTGGGGAGCTTGCGGTCTGAAAGCAGAGATGAGTCAGGTACACAGATACCTGGGATGTGATGTCATTTATTCTACAAAAGGCACTGATAAAGCACTGTCAGATTAAAGGAGGCTGCGAATCACTTCCCACAACTGGTCTCAACAAATGTCTACAAAATTTTCCAATTCAGTGGTCACTTAGTCTTCATTCCATTTGACCACTCTATAGTATGAGATGCTTTTGGAATTCTATGACACAAGTTTCTCCTGGTTCATTTCTTTTCTCTCTATTTTTTCCCCTTCTCTATTGTTGATACTCCTTTCTCCTGTTCATCTCTCGTTGATGTTCCCTAGTGTTCTGTTCTTGGCCCTCTTAACTTTTTCTTCTCTTCCCTCTATACCTTCTCTCTTGATGGCCTCATTAGAAATGGTATCACTATCCTCTATACTATTGTTTTACAAATAGAAATCTTCAGCTCTAACTTCTCATCAGAACTTTTTATGGAAATAGAGAACGACTTGCTATATATTTCCACCTAGATTCCTTTAGGTGCCTCAAAATAAATATATCCCAAGATAAGCTTGTCACTTTTCCTCAAAACTTGCTCCTGTTTTTCAAGTTTCTTATCCTGATTAATGGGACCAGAGTTTGTTCGTTAATTAATTAATTAATCAAATATGTCCAACACTGTGGTAATTGCTTAGGATTGTAAAGTTGAAGAGGACAACCACATTCTAGTATGTGAGATAGACAGACAGAAGTAAAAAGACAAGTAACAGATTATTGTAAGTTGTTAGTCTGAACTAGGGCAATGGCAGTAAAGAGGGAAAGAATAATGAGTATGTTGAATTTATGAATGAATTTTAACAGCAGAAGCCAAGGACATAATTTGGACAAAAATAATAAAGGCAGGATGAATGTGACATTTATGGGAAATGAGTAGAGGTCCAAACTGATGTACACAGAACATGAGGGGAAGCAGCATGATAGTGAGAGGAAGATAAGTCTGGACCAAGCCTGAGGAAGACCTTGAATTTGGAAAGTTCAGTTTAGTAAGTAGTCAGAATTGTGGAGATGTAGATAGAAATCTGAGGCATCACATAAAGACAGTAATGGGAGCCATATGTGTGGATTAGATGACCTAAAGAATGTTTTGAAAGAGAAGAAAAGTTGGCATAGGATGAGGAGGATCAAGAGAAGAGTTGGGGAAGAAAAGTTCAGGTAGAGGAATACAAAGATGAGACCAAGGTCATGAAATACAAAAAGAAAATGGTTTCATGAATGAAAAAGTCTTCTATTGCTACCAATAGCTGTCTAAATGTCAAGGAGGCTGAGAGCTGAACAAAAATGAATTTGAATTGGTGACTTGAAAATGATGGATGATTTAGAGATAATAGGTCCAGTAGGATAGTGAAGGGTGCAAGGTGGTGGAGGTGGAAATCAACTACAAAGTGTCAACAGGGAGACTTTGGTTTACATGGTGGGTGGAGCACATGCATTTGTCTTATCTCCTTTTAGAATTCCAACAAGGAAGCAAGCAGTAAAGAATTGAGGAAAGCTATGCTTTAAGGATGACAGAGAGAAAGAGAGAGAGAGAGAGAGAGAGAGAGAGAGAGAGAGAGAGAGAGAGTGTTTTATAGGGGGAACAACAGTAGACATGATGAAAACAAGGTTTTAGAAAGGAAAGTTCAAGTGGCAACACATTTAGGGACTGCAGAAAGTCAAGATGTGTAGAGGACAATAAGAAGCGAACTGATTTATGCTGCAGAAACCTTGCAGTGCCCAAAATTAGATGCATCCAGTTACTTCTGAAGCTAGAGATTCAGTATAGAACTGGAAACAAGATTTGTTGAAAGCCTTTATAAAAATACAGTGACACTTTTCCACTCCAGCTTTCCCTTTACCCCAGCAGAAGGTTAAAGGTTAAGGGATTCAATGAAAGTCTATGTAGTGGACAGTAATTCTTCCAGCTGGTTCCTAGGATGCTGGTAGCTAAGCTTCAACTCTCAGACCAGAGATTGGAAGATTTCTCTATAGAGAAATTAACTGGCCCAAGAGGAACAATCTATAGTTATTAACATTTGAGGATTCTCCAGTGGGAGAATCAGGCCTGGCCTGATCACTCTATACAACAAAGCATTTTGATTGACAAACACTGTCCCTGCAGAAGGAGCTTCCGGGTAGCATTTTAGCATCTCATTCTTAAATCAGATGAGGATCCCCAAATATTTGAGGAAAGCCTCTAACATGGCGGACACCAAAACAAGCACACAGAAACTCAGGAAGCATAGAGCAAAATAAAAAATATATACTACCAGATCTTTAAGAGAATTTAGAGAAGATATTGTGTCCATGGAACAAGCAGAAAAGTCTTGAAAAGGAGAACATTTGGAGAACAAGAGTTCTTGGAAATTAAAAACACGAGAGTGGAGAAATCTTAAAAATCAAAAGCAGTTTTGAAAGATAAAGTCGAAGATTCTCTAGAAAGCAGAAAAAACAAAAAGAAAAACGAGATAAATAACAAGACAAAATGATGACAGGAACCAAAAGAAAATTAGAGGATCAATCTGGGAGGCAGAGAGAGAATGGAGGAGACTAAATTGTCTGTGAAATTATAACAAGAAAAATTTTCTAGAACCAAAGGACCTAAATTTTCAGATTAAAAGAACAGGCCCGATGTTTGGCACAATAACTAATTAAGATTGACACCAACGTGAAATTTCAGAGCACTAGGAAAAGAGACATTCTTAAAAGCTTTCAGGGTAGAAAAAACAGGTCATATACAAAGACTCAGAAATCAGAAGGGCATCAGACTCCTTAATGAAACTCTGGAAACAGGAAGAAAAATGCAGTGACACTAAGAGAATTCTAAGTGAAAACGATTTACAACCTATAACCCAATGTATGGTCAATTACAACCAAATGTTGAGAATAGAATAAAGGCATTTTCAGACTTGCAAGTTTTCAAAAATTTTACCTCACATGCACCCATATGTCTTAGAAAGTTCCTGAAGGATACGCTCTGGCACATTGAAGGAATAAATCAAGGAAGAGGAAGACACACACTCCAGGAAATAGGATGGTAATGCATGAGAAAGCTGAGAGAGACTCCTAGAGGTTTAGTCATAGGATGATAGCCATGCAGCAAACCAGAAGGCAATCCATCTAGATTGGAGTCAGGGGGAGAACACATCCTAGAACATACTCTATGTCTCCAGGAGAAAACCAAAGCCATAGATTACTTGATTGGTTGGAATATGTTGCAAGGATATTTATAATTCTGTTGCAAAGCTTGAGGAAAAATTAGTAATATTTAAAAATTGAGGCAATCACTGTAGTAACCATTTTATTATCCTGTAACATGATTTTGTAAACCTTAAATATACACAATCAAATTTATTTTTTTAAAAAGTATCATTTTACAGAAGTGGAAATTGACAGTTATACAACCAGTACATGATGACTTTAAGATTCAAATGCTGAACTACTCATTCTGAATTCATTATTTATTATATAGTTTTCCTACTATAATCAGCTGTCTTTTGCTTTGTCTTTCTCATTAAAAAAAGAAAGGAAGCAAAATGTAATTATTAGCTCCTCCAAAAAAACAAAACTGTATGAAAAAAGAAATGTATCACACTATACTATGATTCAGGTGTAAATAACATTTTCATATTTACAAAAATATAAATAAGCAATACGTTTATTTATTATTTAATAAAATGGCGATCAACTATATTGGGAGGTAGAAGAACCAGAGTATGTTGTGAGAGTATGGTTAAGAGCAAATTATTATATTTCATTATAGGAAATAAATAAATTGATAATGAATGAATTGCAGTGTAAGCAAATGCCAGAAGAAATGATACAAGTATTTAAAGTGGTTGCCCCCACAGTAGGTAGGGATGGGCCAGAGAAGTACAATATCTTGTAATACTGTTTGACTTTTCAAACAATATACATCTTTATCTTTGATAAGACTAAAGGTTATTAAAAACAGTGGGCATCGGAGAATTAGTGAGTGTAGAATGATAAATTTGATTTGAAATGTAAGAAGAGATATCATCATCCTTTCCTTCCTGTGAATAAACTTTTTTTTGAGTTGCAGTCTCACTCTGTCTCCCAGGCTTGAGTGCAGTGGCACACTCACGACCACCACAGCCTCAACCTGTTGTGCTCAGGTGATCCTTATGCCTCAGCTTTCCAAGTAGTTGGAACCACAGGTGCTCACCACCATGTTCCAGCTAATTTTTGTTTATTTATTGTAGAGATGAAGTCTCGCCAAGTTGCCCAGGCTGGTCTCAAATCCCTGGGCTCAGGCGGAACTCTAGCTTCAGCCTCCCAAAGTGCTGGGATTACAGGCATGAGCCACCGTGCCTGGTGAATAAACATTTATAAAGATGAAAAGGTGCCCCAAGTAACAGAGCTCTAAGAACATGTCTCAGGTGGTTTTACAACAGTCCTCAAATTTCTAACTCAAAAATTGGCTATATTGGGAGTAGATTATTCCTGGCATAACTTCTCTATGTGCTTCAGAACAGAGACTTGAGGAAGTCAGGTTCTGGAAGAAGGAGTTAGATGACAAACTTGAGCAACTTGTGACAGAAACTGAGGATCTACTCACATATAAGACCAGATTGGAAAAAGCCCTGGAGAGTTTTAAAGAACCCTTGCACATCACTGAGACATGCCTGGAATACAGGTAGGAGGGGTGAGTCCCTGAGTGAACCATCTGTTGTGAGAAATGAGATGCTGGGTAGTAAATGCCAGCTGGGCAAGATGGTGGGTTAGAATGCGGCAAATAAGCAGGTGTTCTTTTAGAGCCTAAAGTTATCTTGGCATGCCAGTGGGGCTGGTAGTGGAAAGAGCATTGGATTTGGTTCATGTCTAAAGTCTGCTCTTGACTAACTCAACTTAAATATAAGTTAGGACTAAGTTTGGCTGTACCAGAAAACTGCAAAATAATATTAAACTTAAATAGTTTCTTTCTCTTTCACATCTAAGGAGTCTAGAGATAGTCAGTTCAGGGTTGGCATGATGAGCCACAGTTTTAGACTTTTTCTATCTTGTACCACTGCTCATGGCTTTCATGCCCAAGTTTACTTCATATTATTTAAGGTGGCAGATGGTTCTCCGATCATTATGTCTACATTCCAGCTAGTAGGGACAAGTGTAGTGTGGCATTCACCATTTCTTTTTTTTTGAGTTGGAGTCTCACTCTGTCACCCAGACTGGAGTGCAGTGGCTGCTCCTGGCCACTGCAGCATCGACCTCCTGGGCTCTGGCGATCCTTCCGCCTCAGCCTTCCAAGTAGCTGGAACTACAGGCGCGTGCTACCACGCCCGGCTGTTTTTTGATTTATTGTAGAAATGAGGTCTCACCAAGTTGCCCAGGTGGGTCTCGAACCCGCAGGCTCAGGCAATCCGCTCACTTTGGCCTCTCAAAGCACTGGGATTACAGGCTGAGCCACCATTTCTCCTGGTACCCCATTGATCAGAACTTAATCACATGATCATACCTACAGAGGCTGGGGAATGATTGGCTTTATTTTGGGCAGCCAGGTGTTCAGCTAAAACATCAGGGGTTCTATTGCCAATGAAAAAGGTGAGAACAGGTACTACAGCTACTGGGGACAATAAGTCTGCTCTGACACAGCACCACAGAAAAGCTCTTTGTTATCCAGACAGTACTAGATGAGTGACTTTATTATTATTTCCAGCCTAAAAATTCAGTGAGTAGGATGATCCTGTCTACTCTTGTGTGTTGCTGGTTTCCAGACCTGTTCCCTGTTGTACCTCTAGCTAGAGTGCCCTAGTAGGTCTTCTTACTGTCAGTGTAGACCCCTCTAATCCAGTGCACCCTCCACATTGACTGTTGAATGAACTTTTCCAAATACAGACTTTTACAAGTCACCTCCCTGCTTAAATCCATTAATTACAACCTCATGCCTCAATAGCTTCAAGATCAAATTCAAGCTCCTTAGCTTCAGAAGCAAGGTTCATCAAGACTGTGCCCTTAGTGATCTCTCCAGGTCCATATCTCATCCCCATTAGCAGGATGTACTTAGGTGTGTTGAGCTACTTGCAGTTTCCCAAATGCACCTTGTCTCTGGGTTTTTCTGGAAAGCCCTGTTCCCTCTGTAGCAACCAGACAGCAGTCTTCCCAGCCAGACTGAGAGAATGTGTGAAGCAAAGGGAAGCAGCAGCTGAACAAGGAGGCCAATGCCCAGTTGACTCAAGTCTAAGGCTAAGGATAATTATAATACAAAGGTTAAATTTGCTGAGCATGTCCTACATGCCAGCTACTGTACTGTATGCTTTTATCTCTCATTTGTACCATGCTACAATCCTATGGCATGCTAATAATTATCCCTATTTTATAGAAAAGGAAATCAAGGCACAGATAAATTATATAACAGGTGTAAGACCACACAGCTAGTGAGTGGGGGAGCCTTCCTCCCAAGCACTATCATGCAGGGTAGGAAAGAAAAAAATATCAAGCAGTGGGGTCAGTTTTTGGAGTAGGACAGTGTAGTGGTTAAGAGTATGTGTAATACCCAGTTCTGTAATAATGGGTAAATTACTTAATCTCTCTGAGACCCAATTTCCTCATCTGTTCTTGAAAGGTTTAAGTAAAAATATTTATATAAAAAACTCAGCATAATACTTGTCTCAGAGTAAATGTTCAGTTACTTAGTATTGGCTTTATTATCCTAGCCATTATTATAGTAATAATAAAACATCTTTCTGGATTCAATTCCTTGGCTGAAAAAACAGGACTAGAGTTGGGCACAGTAGCTCATGCCTGTAATCCCAGCACTTTGGGAGCCTGAGGCAAGAGGATTGCTTGAGACATATGAGTTTTAGACTAGCCTAGGCAATACAGAGACCTTGTCTCTACAAAAAAATTAAAAAAAAATTAGCTGGACATGGTGGCACGTGCCTGTAGTCTCAGCTACTTGGGAGGCTGAGGTGAGAGGATAGCCTAAGCTTAGGAAGCTAAGACTGTGGTGAGCTGTGATTGTGCCACTGCACTCCAACCTGGGCAACAAATTGAGACCCTGACTCATTAAAGAAAGACATAAATAATATAAAAATGGGACTAGGATTAAGGAAGGAAACATGCATCTTTGAAATTCTAAGTCAAAAGACAATGTTTCCAATGAACAGGTAAGAAGAAACAGGCTTCAGAACTGATGGCCAAATTATGGGGGGAAAGTCCATTTTAAAATTTATTATTATTTTAAATTTTGTCTTCTTGCTCAGGAAAAAGTCCGTTTTGCCTTTTTCAGACCAAGTGACCCATCACCAATCCATTTTTTCTTCATTGTGTTTGGATATTTTGAAGTCGCCTAGTCACCACCTAATATCCGTCACCCACTGTGTCATTCAGACAGAGCAGGTGACACTCAAATCAGTTGTCCAGATAGTTTAGAATGTCCACGTGTTAGCCAATATTGAGTGGCCTCCCTGCACATGTTGGCTGACCTACTGCCTTTCCTCGCCAGGGAGAAGCGTGTTGGGATTGACCTGGTACACGGCGAGGTGGAGCAGGAGCTGATGAAGGAGGCTGAGATCATCCGAGGCGTCATAGCTCTGCTGACCCGCACCTTGGAGGAGACTTCTGAGCAGATCAGGTGTGTGCTCCAGCCTGCCCTACAAGCCTCCACTGGAGATTTCGAGAAGAGGCTGTGCCCATGAAGGCCTGGCTTCATGACACAGAAAGAATGGGGTTTAACATACCCACAACCACGGTGTCCCCACACGGTCCCAACACTCAGGGCAGCAGCTGGCCACATACATGGCAGTTGCCTTCTGGTAGGTGGTGGGGCTGGGGCTGGAGCTGGATTTCATACTGGCTATAAACCGGAGGACACAAGTGTGCATGGCTGCCACGGCTGACCCCTCATATATAATAGGTTGTTGGTAATATCAGAAAGTGTCAGAGTGGAAGGGGGGGATCTTGAAGGCCAGGTTTGCTTACATTGATTTACGTGTATATCGGGTGATGGGAAGTGGGGAAGAAGCGCCACCACCCTGTACCAGGCCTCGCTTCAGCTTCATTTTCCAGGGTCTCCCAAGAACCTGTAGGTACCATCTGGACATTCCCAAGGGAGAAACCTAGTTCACTTTCTCTCTTCAGGCTGAACCGCTCTGCCAAGTACAACCTTGAAAAGGACTTGAAGGACAAGTTTGTGGCCCTGACCATCGATGACATCTGCTTTTCACTCAACAACAATTCACCAAACATCAGATATTCGGAGAACGTTGTGCGGATTGAACCAAAGTGAGTGGGCCTGTGGTCTCCCTGTCCTGGTGTTTCTCAGACAGGCAGGACCTCCTGAGCCATCCCTGCAGCCGACTGGGAGTAGCCAGAGCAGGGTTGGGGACACAGGCAGGCTTTGAATGGTGATGGCCCTGACTCAGGGCCAGAAGCTCGTGGGCCTTCCAGGTTGGGTCCCACTTGAAAAAAGTCTGATGTAAAACTGCTAAACGTTATTCTTTTATAATTCATATTTTGAACAAGTAAAGAATCTAAAAATGTATAAAGGGCAAGTCAATTTCTCCCTTTCCATTTTTACACCTGTGAGATATAACCAGTTTTACCTGTGTGTTCATACAAACAAATGTATACACATTTACACATGCACAAGTAAATTTTGTTTAGTTTACAAAAATGGGATTACACTATGTCTTTTCTGTGTCACCTAACTTGCATTTAAAAATTTTTTTTTGTTTTATTCTTTATTGTATTTACTTATTTAGAAAGACAGGGTCTCACTGTCTTGCCCAGGATAAAGTACAGTGGTGTGATCATAGCTCACTGCAGCCTCAACCTCCTGGTCTCAAGCAATCTCCCGCCTCAGCCTCCCAAATATCTGGGACCACAGGCATGTGTCACCATACTCAGCTACTTATTCATTTTCTTTTTTGTAGAGACAGGGTCTCACTGTGTTGCCCAGTTGTGTCTTGAACTCCTGGCCTTAAGTGATCCTCCCACCTTAACCTCCCAAAATGCTGGGATTACAGGTATGAGCCACTGTGCCTAGCCTAACTTGTATTTTTTTCAAGTATCATTATATCACAGCCTTACTCATTTTAATTTTTAAAACCTTCTTTTTGAAATAAAACATACATATGGAAAAGTATTCAAATAATAAACATATAGTTCAAGGAATTATCATTGTGATAGTTATCTTTTGCTATATAACAAATTATTCTAAAATTTAGCAGCTTAAAACAATAAACATTTATTATCTTATGGTTTCTGTGGGTTGGAAACCCACATATTGCTTAGCCACGTGCCCCAGGCTCAATGTCTCATGATTCTGTAGTCAAGCCGGCTGCTGGAGTCGTGGTCTATCTGAAGGTTTGACCGGGCAGGCTGGTATGGTGATAATGGGCCTTAGTCCTTTGCCTGTGAGTTTGCCTGTGGGGCAGTGTCATGACACAGAAACTTGCTTCTCCCATAGTGAGTGATCTAAGAGAAAGTGAAAGAGAAAGGGAGGGAGAGTGAAAGAACCTAAGACAGAAGCCACAGTCTTTTTTATATCCTAATCCCAGAAGTAACGTCTCATTCTTCTGTTTGGGAGACAAGTCAATAAATTCATCCCATACCCGAGGCACAGGGATTACACAAAGGTGTGAACACCAGGAGGCAGAGATCACTGGGGTCCATCTCAGACGCTGCCTCTAATTAGTAGGCAAATATGCCTCATATCACTACCAACCAGGTTAAGAAAGAAAATATTACCATTACCCCACAGAAACCCCCATCCTGTCCCCTTCTTATTGATACTCCCCCTCTCCAACCCAAAAGTAACCACTGTCCTGACTTCTATCAGGTTTGTTTTGCTTGTTTTTTAAAAATTAAATAGTACCATACGCTATATATTGTGTGTGTGTTCTTCTGATTAATATTATTTTGAAAGCCATCAGTGTTATTTTATAAAACAGGTCCTTTTCAAACCAGTAATTTATTCTTTGGCTTGTTTATATCTGTGTAGACTCATGGTTTCCTATTTTATTCAGTGTGTTATAATCTGTTACTATTATTTATTTTGATGCTCAATTTGTCTCTAGCTGTGTGATCTTGACCAAGTGACTTCATTTTCCTGAGCTCAATTTTTCTCATCTGTAAATCTCACTAGGCCATCAGGAGGATGAAATGAGATAATGTCTGTAAGGTGTCAGCTCAGTTTCTGGCACAAAGTAGGGAGGTCACCCAAAGTGTCAGCCATTGCCATAGACAGGTTGCTGCTCACTCTGCCTAGAGATGGGGAGACAATCTGGTGGAGACAGGCTTAGCTTCCAGCACATTTCCAGGAGCTTGTCCCTCTTCCCCCTCCTGCTTCCCCAGCCCCAATGTGCTGTGAATGAATGTGTGGGGTCTCTTTCAGCTCTGTGAGTCTGGAAGACTGGCAGGACTTCTCCAACACCAATGTGGAGAAGGCTGACAAGCAGCGAAACAACTCCCTGATACTGAAGGCCCTGGTGGACCGAGTCCTGTCCCAGACAGCCAGCGACCTACGCAAGCAGTGTGATGTGGTGGACACGGCCTTCAAGAATAGGCTGAAGGAGACTAAGGCTGCCAGGGACAAGCTGGCTGTTCATCTGGCCAAGGTGAGGACCCTTGAGGGAGCATGGAAGAGCAGATTCAGGAGGGTTCACCACAGAAAACGAGAATGCCCCCTGGGCCAGGCTTCTGGGCTTGTGATACTGGGTTAGCTCACGAGTAGGCATCATTCACATCTCTCTAGCTTATCAGCCAGCTTGGGGCTTTGGGGGATGGAGTGGGACTTTGGTCCACTCTACCTCCATTGCCACTCATAGCTACAGAGAACAAGGTGCAGAGGACAGACCCCTGAGGCAGGAGACAGGAGGCTCAGGGTCTGGTGACAGCTTTGTACCTGGCTATCTCACATCCTAGGACATTAGTTCCTCCTTAAATAAAATATGACAATGAGCTATATGCTCTCAAACATCCTCTAGGATGCTGAAGTTCCATGAGTCGATGCAACCAGTTTCTCCAAAAACAAAATGCAGCTTTAGAACTCTGGCCAGTTGTTCCTCCTGGTTATTCAGTGGTATGCTAGTAAGCCAGCTCTGGTGGGGGAGGGTGTAGTAGCAGGGGAAGACCTTGATGTGTAGAATTTGCAGATTTCCACGGTGTAGGTACTTCCGCCATGGTCGATTTCAAGCTACCCACTTAGCAATGAGCTGACAAAGTTCTTGAATACTTAACAGTCAGAGCCCATTGGAGCTGGCTCTAGCACACCTTCCTCACTGCCATGCACCCCTGGATCCTGAGTATATGTGACCACCCAACAAGGCTAAGCTCAGGGACACTGAGAAGTAGAGTCTAGTGGCATGAGTGCTGCATTTGGACTGAGGAGATGTGGACTCAGATTCCAGATGTGTGATAGCTAGCTGGGTGAATCAGGCAGTTCCCTCCAGCTCTCTGAGCCTCTTGCCTTAACTTTGACATGGGGATAATGACAGTTCCTGACTGGGCCACTATCAATCCACCCTGCATTATACTGCTGGTGAAGCTGAGACATAACAAGAAGGAATCCAGGGTGACAGGGTGGGACTAGAGCCCAGGCTTTCTCAGCTCCCAAATTCTTGTCCTGCTGCTGCATTCTGGGTCCTCCCTCCTGGAGCTCAGAGTCTAGTTGTCCAATAAGATTTATTTCCATGATGTGCAGGACAAACCAGAATATAATAGAAGTTTAAAGTACAATATTCAGCAAAATAAGAGGTAGAAGAGCTGAGAGGGTAAATGTGCAGAAAGACTCCAGAGCCAGACAGCTTGGGTTTCAATTGTGGCTTTAATTTGCTGTGTGGTCTTGGGGAGTCTCTGAAACCCCCTGTTCCTTAGTTTCCTCATTGATAAAATGGGGACAGTAGTGCTCACCTCCCAGGGGTGGTGAGGGTTAAGTTAGCATATAAAATATTTGGAATAGTGCCTGAAATGGACTGATATAATGTACACATATATAATTTATATTTATAATCAAGATATAATACAATATAATATATAAAGTCAATAAAATTATTTAATGATGATGATGATATCCAAAGAATACTCCAGAAACTTCCTGGTGGAGTAAGAATTTAGTCTAGGCCATGGAGGATAGATCTGAGGTATGAGGACAGAGAGGAGGTGAGAACACCATAAGAGAAGAGGCTGAGCAGGCAAGATACTAGGTTTGCAGGGGCCTGTAAGGAGCCCAGTCCTGCCAGAGGAGAGGGTTCCTACAGGAGCTGGGAGCTATGAGGCTGAAGGTTTGGAAGGGACATCAAAACTGGACAGGCTGGAATGATGGGTTAAAACCCACAATGGTCTGGATAGGCTGTAATGATGGGTTAAAACAAATTCTGTGAAATTTAACAGGGACAAAAGTGAAGTCTTTCACATGGGTCTAAAAAATCAATTGTGGTAGAGCATGGTGGCTCACACCTGTAATCCCAACACTTTGGGAGGTAGAGGCGGAAGGATTGCTTGAGCCCAGAAGGTCTAGGCTGCAGTGAGCTATGTATGTGTGACTGCACAACAGTCTGGGTGACAGAGACCCCGACGCAAAAAAAAAAAAAATCAATTATACCAGCACAGACTGTCTTAGTAGCAGCAGGAAGAATGAAAAGATTTTAGTTGAAAGAAAACTGAGAGCAAACCCTTAATAGAATGGGAGAGGTATCTAGATCATGGGAGCTGATGGTCCTGCTCTTATCTAAGGGGGTGAGGCCTTTCCTGCAGGACTGTTAATAACATTGATGACAATAGTGATGGTCATATTTTATTGGGTGCCAGACACTGTGCTATCACACAAATATGCGTTAGCAACCCTGAAATGGTAGATGTCTTTATCATTCTCTGAGAGACAGGGAAAAGTTTTTCCTACTCTCACATACTTAACACAGCACTTCTGACACCAGATTTGTGGGGTTTTTCCTCATGCACCAAGCAAATGGTTTTCTAGCAGACACCGACTGGGTGTCCTATAATTTTTTTTTTTTTTTTTGAGTTGGAGTCTCACTCAGTCACCCAGACTGGAGTGCAGTGGCCACTCCCGGCCACTGCAACCTCGCCTGCTGGGCTCCGGCGATCCTTCTGCCTCAGCCTTCTGAGTAGCTGGAATACAGGCATGCACTACCATGTCCGGCTGATTTTTTTTTTAATTTATTG